TAAATACTATAGAATTAAGTTACTTTTACCTATTTGTATATGTAATTACTAGCTTACATGAATATGTCTGTGATAATTACTCAATCAAGTCTTGAGATAAGAAAGACCAAGTTTATATAAATATATAAATATATATATAAATATATATATATATATATATATATCACTTTAAGGAATAATTATACAAAATATATTAGTCCTAAGTTTCCAAAAATATCCAAAATTTTATTAAAAACTCTAAATCCTTATACATCCTTATGGAGTATTATTTCCAAACTTCAACAACTCATATCTCCCAATTAGACCATTCAATCATACTCAAATTTTACATGAAGTACTGATATACTTTTAAAAATTATCATAGCAAATTTCAATTGCAAATTTATCATGAATCTTAAGATATTGCCAAAACCCTACCAGTAGCTCTAAATCCAAGTTTTTATATACTTGCATGCAATTTTCTTCATATCTCACAATCTAAGTATTTAAATACCACAAAATTTTTATATATAGCTTTTTAATATAATAATCTACCATCTTCAAAAGGTTTGAGCTAAAACTTCATCTAAAAACTCAAGCTATGGTTCTAACCATTACTATGAAAAAATCACTTACTTACTGCCTTTGATTTAGATGCACTGACTTCAATTCTCTACAACTTCTAAATCCAAATCCTAAATTCATCAAATAGTATATAAAAAGTGTAGGCGAGATACCAATTATACATCAAGACTTACAAGCATGATATATATTTTAATTAATTTTTTACATACTATAAGCAACTGTAGTATGACAATAAATGTGTGTGGAACTATCAAGGATTCAATAAGATTACTATTAAGAATAGGTATTTTCTACCTTTGATTTCAAGACTTTTTGATCAACTAAATTGATCAAATGTCTATATAAAAATAGATCTACAATGAGTATATAATGTGATATGTATTAAAGAAGGAGGTGAATGGAGAATTGCATTTTGAATCAAGTATGGGTATTTTGAATATAATGTCATGCCTTTTAAATTTACAAATGTACCAATTATTTTTTAATATCTAATAAATGATGTCTTTTTTGAGTTGCTTGATAATTTTGTTGTCTATTATTTCAACAACATCTTAATCTACTAAAAATATAAAATAATATGAAGTTCATTTTTGTTGAGTATTACAAAAACTTAGAAATGCAGGATTATATATAAAGTTAAAAAAAATACATATTCTATACTACTCAAGTTGACTTCCTAAAATACATCATTTTTAATGAAAGGCTAATAATGGATCCAAAGAAGGTCCAAACTATCATGAATTGGAAGATTTGAAGAATAATATGAGATGTAAAATATTTTTTGGACTTTGTTAATTACTATTGTATCTTTATTAAGAATTTTTTACAAATTGTAGTGCCACTTACATATTTGACTTGTGAAAACAAACTTAAGTGGAATAATAAAGCCAAAGCATCATTTGATGCTTTAAAAATGGATTTACTTTTGCACCAATTTTATATCGTGTTGATTTTTTCAAGGAATTTTTAATGGAAACAAATGCATCAGACTTTTCTTTAAGTGTAGTATTATTACAAATGGAAGCAAATGACAAATTCTATTATATAGCTTTCCATTCTAAAAAAATTTTAGCAATGAAGATTAATTATGAAATCCATGATAAAGAGCTCTTTGGAATCATGGATTCATTTTAGAATGGCTTCATTATTTAGAAGGCACTTCAAGTCTTGTCATTATATATACAGATGACATAAACCTCAAGTATTTCATGTTGGCACATCCTTTAAATTATTGCTAAGCTCATTGGAGAATGTCTTTATCAAGATTTGATTTTAAGATCACTTATTGACTTGAAAAAGAACAAGGTTTATTGGACATCATTTTTAGATGTTCTTATCTTGCACCAAAAGAAAGAGATGTATCTTTTGATTAAGAAAGAACAATTCTTTTGAAGTTAAAACATTTTTAGTTTTGAGCAACAAAATCAACATTGATTATTGATTCAATATTTGTCAAGAAAATTCAATTAAGTATGTCTTTTGATCCTCTTATGCATAATATCAAGAATAATTCTTTTAAGTCTCATAATACTTTTAAATTTGAATTTAAAAATAATCTAATCTATTTTAAGAAATAATTATATATTATTAAAAGTGAGACGTGATTACATAGTCTTTAAATTCATCATGACTTTCTAATAGTTGGACATTTTGGATACAACAAGATTTTGGAGCTAAAATCAAGAGAATTTTTGGTGGCATCAAATATAGAAGGCAGTTAAAGACTTTGTACAATCATGTGATATTTTTTCAAGATCCAAAACTCCTCGCCATTGACCTTATGGACTTTTTCAACCATTATTGATTTCAAAGCAACTATGGTCTTTTGTTTCTATGGATTATATAATAGATCTTTCAGTCTTAGGTTTGTATGATTTTGTATGTGTAGTAGTAGATCATCTTACTAAGATGACATATTTTGTACTATGTGTAAAATCTATCAAAGATGAAGAAATGGCTAAGCTTTTTTTTAACAACATCTATCGCTATCATGGATGGCCTATAGATATTATATCACATAAGAAGATTCAATTTATATCAAGATTTTAGAAAATTTGCCAAATCTTCTACGATATTGTTGGAGTTACATGCAACAATTAAGATACAGTTAAATGGAGTTCAAGAACAATAAAAAATTAATGCAAATACCTATTGCAAGAAACAACCACAATTCAATATAGGTGATGAAGTATGATTACTTTGTTGTAATATCAAGACTACTTCTCTTTGTGATAAGTTGAACTGTTATAGATTTGAGTCTTTTCCTATTAGTGAACAAGTCAATCATATTTTTCATCGATTATATCTACCAAAGCTTATAAAGATCCACCTTATATTTTGCATGTCTCTTCTTGAGCCATATAAGACAGTGAATATCTCAAGAAGAAGAAAAATACCACCTCTTTTTATAGAAGTAAATAATAATCAAGAATTTAAGATAGAAGAAGTCTTAGATTCAAGGCTACACCAAAATAGGTTGGAATATATTTTTCATTGATATAAATATGATATTAATGAACATGCATAGGAGCTAGCAAAAAATCTTACAAATATAATAAAGACAATTGAAGCTTTTCATTGACAACATCTATCAAAATCAAGATAAAAAATAGTAAATCTTTGCTATAAAAGAAAGAAGGTCAAAGAAAGATAACACTCTATCTTTTATCCTTCTTTGTAGCTTTTGTGTATTTATAACACTAAAGAGATGGATAAGGAACAATGAGCAAATTCAACTCAAGAGCTTTTATTTACGGACTTACCAAACAAGACATTGTGATTGTCACAACTTTCAAGACAATGAAATTGACATGAAGATCCTCAAGAACAACATGTCCATCCTCAAATAGATTGTGAGATACAATACATTTTGTATCACAACCTTACATGAGACTCTCGATGTCATTTTAGTTTAATATTATATCATCTTTGAGTGACTTTTTAGTTATTTTCAAAGATACAAGAGTGTATTGAGGATTTTTTTCCTTCAAGATTCAAGTCCTATATATATATATATATATATATATATATATATATATATTTGCTTATATTTAAAAGAATTAAGTAGAAATAAATAGAAGTAAATAAATTTAGTAATATCTTATGGATAAGCTTTTTAGAAGTTTTTTAAAAGCTTTATAGATAAAAAAATTTGATTTTATATGTATTTATAAATAATTAATAGGTTAAAAAATTAGTTGAAAAGTTGATCATGTATCACACATGTTAGTGACTTATGATACAAGTTGGCCATGTGGCATATATACAAGAAACTTATCTTACAAGTTAAATATGTATTTTGCAAGATAAGTACATGTTGGAGGTCTTATAAAACATTGCTATATAACTCTTAAATAGATATTATATACAGAAGCAAAAAATAAGGCCTTTTTATTTTAATAAATTCCTTTCTTATTTTTAATCTTATCTCAAGAGTCTCAAATCACAATAGCCATTTTGATTTGAATGTTATATTATCTTTAAGTGATTATCTATTCTTTTTTAGTGACTCTTTGTTTCTTTGTAATTCATGTCATTGAAAAAACTTGAATTGATTCTAAAATTAATAATAATTATTATAGTAATATTTTTTTCATATTTTTTTTAAAAAATCACCTCATTATTTATATTTTATTTGACATATATCTTTTTTTAACTATTAATATTTCAATAATATTTTATTACATTAGAATCATGATAAGACATAAATATGATAAGAAAATTTCAATAATTATGTAAGAAATTTGATAAAATTTTAAAAAAAATACAAGGTTTCGTTTTTCATATAATTTTTTTTTAAGGGTAATTGCACAATTAATATTTTGTGTTCCATACATGACACAAAAGTTTGTGGTTAAAATAATACTACTATTTGCAAAAATTCTAAAGAATTATATCATAGATGAAAAAAAATTAAATATATTTTTTCTATTTTAATAATTTACATGTGATAACATTTAACTTAACAAATGTGTAATATAACTTAAGTTTGCAATGATCACTAATGAATGAACAGGAGCTGTTCACAACCGAAGGAAAAAAAGAAGAATGAATAACACATCCATTCAAGCACATCCAAACCCTTCATCCGTTCTTCATTTGGGAACCCAAGTCGGGAACGTGGAAGGCAAGTAGCGCGTGGTAACCGAGGCTGTGAGACGTACTCTTAAAGCTCCACAAGACACGGTCTCCTACACCCGCGTCCAAACGGACCCTTGACCCGTCGCTAAATAGAAAGCATTCGAAATCCCCCCTATACCCGCAGATTCGCGCATGGGTACCGGTCTCATTCAAACCCCGCCCCACCACCACCCAACGTTTCTTCTCCCCCCAATGGTCGCCCACTCACTCCCTCGGACGGTACTGGCCGACCCCTGGACACTGCCTGCATCCTCCAGCGGCCCTGCCAAGGCTTGGATGCCTGAATGTCTGCTTTCAACCATGAAACATTGCCTCGAAGGAATCGGTTCCTCATGGAGATGGGGAATTGTAGACGGCTTCAATTGCGGGAAAACGCTTCCCGACAATTCATGGAGTCCGTGCGGAACTGGGTTAAATTGAGCTGAACTCCGTGCGTGTCTTCTGCAGCGTCTGGAAGTCTTTCACTGAGACGGCTTTTTGGTTGTTTGGTTTTTTCTCTTATATCTTCAGAGGTTATTCGAGGATGTGTACTTGCAGGTGCGGTCGGTGTGGGTGTTCATGTGCCAAACAGCGAAGTTGAAAGATGGCAGTCCTTTCAGGTCGAATGATCGGGTGGATAGTGCTCTGGTAGTGTTTGGGTTATGGTTACAATGGTTGTGGAGGTTATTCATGTAGGTTGGTTGATTGGACGGTGGTGTTGATGAGGGTGGTGAAGCACGCAAGAGATTATTGTCCTTGCTAATAAGCCGACCAGGCTGTGGAAGAGAAAATGAAGAGGATGGAGGAAACTGTGGAGTTCGGAGTATTGTGTAGCATGTTTGAGGCCATCGTTAGGTGTAAGAAGGGAGCTCTGAAGCGGAAACATGTGCGGACGTTTTTGGAGCATGTTTACAATGGCCAAGAGCATTTTAGCGCTATGCGTTTGATTCTTCCCGACTTGGATAAAGAGCGTGCCAACTATGGACTCCGCGAGGCTGTGTTGGCCAAATTCTTAGCCGATGCTCTGGGGCTGTCTAAAGAATCTGAGGACGCTAAGAAACTTATCAATTGGCGTAAAGGAGGCCAAAGAGCCGGCAGCAATGCCGGCAATTTCTCTATGGTTGCGTCTGAGGTGGTTTCTTTTTTCCTGTTATGCCTTTTGACAACTGAGTACTCTTGGGCGCCACTATTGAACCCCATTTCACAGTCCCCGATTCGTCTAATTGAACGTTGGCGTCTAGGACAGCAGTGGCATTCATGGCCGTTAAACTTAATATAGCAATCGTACGTCATGGCCGAAATACGTAGTCCTTCGTCCACATGACATGATTTAGGCTCTGAGGATGAAGCCAACTCCCAAGCCATGCAAGTCAAACAGATGCTTTTACCTCATTCCAATTTGAAGTCACTCTATGAATATGAATCGATTAGCCTCGACCCACTTTCTGTGATCGAAAATTTAGGTGCTTCTCAGTACACAGAAGTGCACACTGATTGGCTTGATGGCTTCTTCTAAGCTATGGTGGTCGTATTGCTGGACTGCAGGTGCTCTGCAGGAGGCAGAAAACAGCACCTGGTGGTCTAATGATTAAAGAGGTCAATGATCTTCTCGATCGCTTAGCGGCAGCACAAGACAAGTACGTGTGGTCGTAGTCGGCCCCAAAAATCCTGGATTTTTTGTGATTAGTTTTGTGGTAGACAGAGTTGGAGGCATCCTACATGGGTAACAGAGCTTATTATAATCGATTGTTTTAAACCACGACTAAAATTTCGAACGTGCTACACAGGGAAGAGAAAACAGCTGTGCTAGCTGAGCTCATCAACAAGACAAATGCTCAGGAAATGAGGTGGATTATTATGATTATTCTGAAAGGTGAGGAGAATAATGCAACACTAAATCTTCATCTCTTCATTTCTTGGCGCTCTTTCATCAGTCTTCGAATCTACGTACACCGCGCTGTTCCTTGCTCACTGAAATGATTTCTATTGCCTTGTTTCTACCTTGGTAAGGATCCGAACGTCAGGCACTTCTAATGCCCAGGTTTCTAATGAAATGTCATGCGTTTGAACTTACTGCACTTAGCAACTAACAACTCACATGATCAATCGTACTAGATTTGAAACTCGGGATTAGTGAGAAGACAGTTTTCAGCGAGTTTCATCCCGACGCGGAAGATTATTTCAATGTCACATGCGATCTGAAGTTGGTTTGTGAAAAGCTTCGTGATCGCAGCATACGTTACAAGCGCCAGGTGTTAACCAAACTGAACTTGCTAAAACTCTTATTAGGGACGCTGAATCGCGTTCAATCTTGGAAGAATCTGGACAGATTTGATGTGAAGAAGCTATTTAGGATCATTCACAGTAGTCTCCACTTCCATCCTTTGAGAAGATATTCTCTGACGTCCCAAATTTGCAACTTGCCACTCATAGCATGCATGTATTTTCATTTATTGCCAGGATATCGAAGTGGGGAAGGCAGTGCGACCACAATTAGCCGCAAGGGCTGCCAATGTCGAAGATGCCTGGAAGAAGGTTGATCTCAGAGAATCGTCGCACATACTTACGACACCTTGTCAAGTACTTCAATGACTTTGCATTGGTGTTTAATTGAGATTGTCTAGCAGCAAAGTAAGCCTCGCATGTTCCTGGTTGAAATACAGATGCGAGGCAAAGACGTTGTGGTAGAATGCAAGTTTGATGGAGACCGTATTCAAGTGCACAAAAATGGAAATAATCTGAACTTCTGGTCAAGGTAACTAACTGCATCTGCAGAACTGATTTCAACACTTTGGTATGATCATGCATAGACCATGAAGCCCTCTCATGCGCACCTTCTGAGCATTGACCAACTCTTGGGTACAGGACGTTTAATGACCATCCAGAGTTCAAGGAGGCTATTGGTGACGTATTGTGTCAACGTATCATTCCCGAGAAGTAAGCGAGCATTTTAATGGATTTTTACTTGAAGATGATTGTGAAGAGATAAAATTTCTCTTTTTGAGTCGAGCTGCTACCCTCAGTTGCCTCTAGCATTTGAAGCTCACAACATGGTTTCCTTGATATTGTGGGTGTAACGTACATTGATTATAATACAATTGTGTATAGGTGTATACTTGACGGAGAGATGTTGGTTTGGGATCGAGTGTCGCAAAGATTTGCTGAGTTTGGCTCTAATCGTGGAGTTGGTAAGGATTTTTTGTTTTCGTTTTTCTTATTGCTACTGGAATGTATTTGTGGAACGAATTTGCCTGTCAGAGAATACGGGTGCTTTAAAACTGTATCTATGACTTCTGCGCATGGAACATCTGTGAATCCATGGTGGCATTTGGATTTTTGGTTTTGTCCTGAAATGCTAGGTCACAGTCTTGCAAATGTTCTTATATCTGAGATTTTCTATAAATTTTCTTGTACAGCAAAGGCTGCTAAGGATGGCTTGGATTCTGATCTTCAGGTACTACAATGCTGCTCTTACTGACTCTAGCACTGGGCACTGCCTCGCTCTGGAGTCTGATTTCGTGCCAACATAGCACCTACTCCGTAGTTGTTTGTTGGGGCCCTGCGTAGATTTGAGAGGGACGTGCTTTATCGTGTCTTCCCTGTAATTTTCACACGGCGTGAATGTTTGTACCTCATCATTGACTGTTACCTGTCTAATAGGCATTGGGATGCTACTGTTGTTTGTCGGTGAAGTCAAATTTAAGGCATTCCCAATCTCTATATCGCCTTCTAGCTGATACGTGCAAACTGTTGTTTAAAAGCTGGCATTTTGAGTGACAATTCTGTGCTGTTTGTTCCCCTTGCAGATTTGTTGTATCCTTCTTGGCCACTAGGAGCATCGGTGTTGGAACAGATGTCTGCGTGTTTTCTGCCAATACGTTCACTCAGGGTTATTACCTGAAGACTCAGATTTACTCAAGCCGCGAAACTTCAATTGAATGAATTAGTTTAGTAATCACACTCTTAATGAAAGAGCTACACTTAAGCTACTCTTTAACGACCAGGCATCCAGATGTTGCATTCGATATTCTGTATGATGGTGACAGCAGTGTTATCCATCGTCCGTTGCGTGAACGGCAACGGCTCCTTCAGAACGCTATTCGTCCTCTCAGTGGCCGTCTGGAGGTTCTTATACCTGCAGCCGGAGGGCTTAATGCAAAGCATGCTGTTGGTAAGTTTGCTTTGATGTTTCTCTATTTGCCAACTCAGTGTATCATCTGACTGATCCAGCCAATGTTCCATTTGTATATCAAACTAGTTTTTAATGGGAACAATCATACGTGTCATGGTAAGCACCTTAAAATGTTAGTTACCCAGAGCAGCTCCTGATGATGGAGCTGTCGTGAATCCGAATCTGGGTTCTAAATTACGTCGTTAATATGTGTAGGAGATCCGAGGTGGTCAATCTTGGCCACAAGTCCCGAGGAGGTGGAACAGTTTTTTCAAGAGACGATCGACAATAGGTTAGTCGTCAGTGAAAAGGTCTAAAGATGTATTTTTTAATAACTGTGTCCATAAATCTAACCAATATACCATATATATGTTTTTGGAGGAAACGAACTTTTCAAATTTAAAAATTTGATATTGACAACATAGAATTAATTTAACTGCAATAAATACTACTTATCATTTGAAGGCCTTCATGAGGTAGTGAACTTGAACACATTTGAATGTGTCTTCCGCCATAACGTGAAAATGAATTTGGTGTAAGCTGGGGTACATTTTCGCACGCAGGGAGGAAGGGGTTGTGTTAAAAGACCTAGATTCCAAATGGGAGCCCAGTGATCGTAGTGGAAAATGGCTTAAACTCAAGCCTGATTACGTTCACTCTGAATCTGACCTTGATGCGCTGATAATAGGTGAGCACATGGTCACACTTTATCGTTCCCTGTATGCTTTTGCTGGAATATCAGAAGCTCATCAGAGGTAGTTTGTTAAAGATCTCATAATGTTCTTTGTTTATACTTTTTTGCAAAATCCTTTGTAAGCTGTTAACCTTGATCATTTTAATCGAAATTCGCAGGTGGTTATTTTGGAACTGGACGGCGTGGTGGTGAGGTTAGTTGACAGTTGCAGCTTGTTCATCCATAGCTTCCACTTTAGTTTCTGTGATCTATCCACGACTGACTCAGTTTTTAGTCATTGCTGACTCCATTGCGTTGTGAACTGTTCTGGTGCATGCCTGCAGTGTTTAACAGCCCTGAATATCTCAATGCCTCATGTAATGTGCTGGTTACAGTTAACAACTTCTACAGTCACTAAGCAAGGAATTCGCAGAATTGTTCAAGTATTTGTTAGATATGCAAGAAAATCTTGCACACGCTACTATTTCACTTGATTTTGGAAACACTGTTTAATGCAAGGCAATCACAAATTTTTCAGGTTGCTCAATTTTTATTGGGATTGGCTGAGCCGTCAGAAGTGGGTGGCTACCCTACAAAGTACGCATTTTTAACTACCGTTTATTTCAGAATCTTTTGTATTGTGTGGATCTCTTCTATGTACGTATGTGTGTATGCTCCCGATTCATTCATATCCTATATGTAAATTTAGATTTTATGATTTGTTATTGAGGCCTTCATTTACATGGGGGCAGTGGTCTTTGGGCTATGATAAAGTAGATCTCAGAGTGGTGTACAGTATTTCTGGACTTTTAACATTCTCAGGTCAAAGAAGCATGCCGTCGGTAAGAGCTTACTTGCTGTTTGTGCAGATTTCGTTCCTTCTGCAGAGTGGGTACAGGCCTCACTGATGATGAGGCTGAGCAGTTAGTGCACAAGCTCAAACCCCACTTCAGGCAAGTATAAATATGAAACTATGGAAATATTGCCTTTTTGACTAGCACTCTTCGCTTGTTTTGTTTCTTATATGAATCAAATCCGGAAATTTTCGCGGGCACGAACTGAAATTAAGTTTTAGTTTTCCTACTGTAGGGAAACATCAATATGAGTTACCATAAGGTCCTACTCTAAGTATTGCTAGTTTTCTAACATGAAAGGAACGTCTGCTTTCTACCCTGCATGATCCTTCACGTCTATCCGCTGATAGGGACACATTAATTATACATGTTTGGTTACAGGAGGAATCATAAAAGCACCAAACCACCGAGCTGTTATGTGCTGACTAACTCATCCAAAGAGCGGCCTGATGTCTGGATTGAACGACCTGAAAAGTGAGTACCATTTGTCTAGCATCCCCTTCCCTATTTGTCAAAACGTTCCACTTACTGGCAAGTTATACATCAAGCTGTGCTGGATCAGAGAATTGGTGCAAATTTTAAGCATTTCAGGTTTTTCTTGTTCTGATAATTTTGAGTTCATTCATGATTTCTTCTTTCGACAGGTCCGTAATACTTCAAATCACAAGTGATATCCGAACCATACGCTCTGAGGTCAGTTTGAGGTTAAACCTGCCCCCGACTCTTGAGCAGAGCGCACTCATGTTCACTCTGAGCTTCAGAGCCAGGGACAGGGGGGGATATGTTGGACATTTTCTGCAGCTTCTCTTGTATTGGACCTTGAGGTTTTGACCCGAATGTCTTATTCGTGGCTTTGTTTAATACACGTTTATGTGCATCATTTTACATGTCCAGGTATTTGCAACGCCGTATAGTCTACGGTTTCCTCGAATCCAAAGAATTCGATATGATAAACCTTGGTATGACTGCCTCGATGTTCAGAGTAAGTATGTCTACGACTTCATGGTCAGTAAGAAAGACTGAGCTTGAGTTTTTGTCCGTCAAGAGTGGAGTGTGGTGTGAAGATAATTGTGATTATTAGTGCAAAGAACTAGACAACACCTGTAATATTTATCTTTTTCTTTCTCTTATCGTGTAGTTTTAAAATTGATTTTTTGGCTAGCACAACAGTCAGTTCAACATGTTATTCTTTAAGGGTGTTATTCTTTTAAGTATCCATCTGCACAGCTTATTCTTTGGAGTCTCTGCGGTTCTATTGTTAATGCAATCCTCTCTTGCTCAAGCATATATGCCTCCTGATAATCTCAGCTTTTGAAGATCCGGACAGGTAGCTAAGGAACTTAGATCTTCAAGTTGTAGGAGATTTATTAAGGCGACTAGTTTATGTGTGTATCTGCGCACATGCTGATCTTCGTGTTTTTTTTTTTTTTTTTTTTTTTTTTACTGTGGCAGCATTAGTAGATACGGTACATGCAAAGAGCCAGAACGATGGTCAAGCGGAAGGTGGGAATCAATTCAAATATCGAGCAAGACGGGCCAAACAGGAAAAGCCTGAACGAGCATCATTGGTCCCCTCCCACATGTTGGTAACAGACGTATCGCATGTAAAGCAAGCCACTCGCATCTTCAAGGGCCTTGTCTTCTGTATCCTCTTCCACTCATGTTTTGCAGGTCCCTTAGCACATATTGAAGACATGAGCATTTATTCACGAGGCTTGAAATTGTCGAACATGATTGACCTTGGCTCTAGAGTCCGGATAGTTTGCGGTTGTATTTTCATTCCTCACCGAATCCAAATATGCACGGAATGTAGCAATCTTAATCTGCAGTTTGTTGCAAAAAGGATAAGCTGAAATTTATCCCGTTTACAACCCTATATGTACACGTGATATGTGCTACTTCCATTTTCATATGTAGACGACATTTCTTTCATTTCTGGTGGAGGAAGCAATTATTTGTCGGAATGACTGTTAAGCATACAAACTGTTGGAACCACGTGGAATTATGACCGTTTTCGAATAGATTGTCCTTGACTTTGTTACAGACGTTGCCAACACTTCCAGTGAGTACCCAGTTGAGAAAATTCACAAATTGGTTGTAGAGAATGGAGGCACCTTCTCTATGAACTTGAGCAGTACTGTTACTCACGCGGTCGCATTCGAAAAGAAAGGTATGAAGTCTTTTTAATGTTTTTTAATTTTGCCGGCGCACTTAGGAATTTATGCTTTAAAGTTCATGATGTGCTGATACGTACCCGCAGGTTTTGAGTGTACTAAACGGAAATTTCTCAATCGTCTGAATGTACTTGGGCTCATGTTCAGGACTCAAGTATCAGGCATCTTTTATGAATGGGGATGTCATTCATCTATCATGGCTTTTAGACTGCATGGCTCAGAAAGTACTCCTTGTAGTAAGCCCCAAGTATGTCGCGAAACTCTCCACTGATAGTTGTTGTCCAGGATAGTTTCTTATAGGTTTCGAAGATCATTTATATGGATGGGACACGCTGCTGGGAATCGGTTAATTGTTAATCACCAATGGTTTTTTTGTTGATCTAATGTTATCATGAATGGACTGAAGCAAGTTTTAGTATCTTTTTGCTACATCGGTGATGGTTGCAGAACAGGTGCTGCTATCCATTTCCTATCCTTACTGCTAAAGATGAGTATTGCAAGGATCTGTTTGTGCTTCTAACATTAACAAGGGGGAATTTGGACAGGTATTACTTGAATATGTCAGATGCCACAAAGGAAAGACTGAAAGGTGAAGTTGACGAATTTGGAGATTTTTACTGCAACGAAGTTGATGAAACTGACCTTACACAGGTACGTCAATTTGATTGACTGATTCTGAACAATGAACAATTCTTGAATAACTGATTTTGTGGGTGGGGAAATGTGCGAAGCTATTCTCATTATGTTGTCCTTCACGGGTGCAGATCTTCGAAAACATAGATGTGAACAAGCAGTACCACGACATTGACAGAGTGAATTACTACATCAAGAAATATTCCCCATCTCCAACTTGGTGCCTTTTCTCCGGCTGCTGCGTCTTCTTTCTCCGTCCTCTTCACTCCGCGTACAAAATTTCTCAGACTTTTGGTGTAGTTCAATTCTGTAGTTGGGATTTTCTGTAAACTTGTACTTTGTCTGACCGGAAGTGGAGGGTGGACATGCTGCAAGGTCACGAGTCTTATCTGTACGTGAAGTTTTTTTTATCAGTAGCAGCATCGGATTCCTTTATCTGTAGCATGTTTGCCAATCTGGACTACAGCAACAAAAACTTCCTTGGAGTGAACAAGCATTTTATGGTGTTTGCAGGAATGAAAATACTCTACAGGTGGCAAACCTAACATTGAGAAGACTTGCACTCGAGGTGGAGATGCACGAAGGCACCGTTTCTGACAAATTGACGCGTAGCATCACACACGTTGTGATGTATGTACCTACGGAAAGTCCCGTATCGTTCCAGATTATATTACGAAGGTATGTTCCAATAGGATGCGTGAGTTGCATCAGGATGTTAAGATACGATCGCTCTGCTCTCAGTTGGAGTAGGCACAAGAAATAAGTGTTTTTTTCTGGTTCTCAATTATTTTGATGACTACCGTTTTCTGCTTGAGTGGGATTCTAACAAGTTGATGAGTGCAGTGCGTCATCGGAGGAAAGAAGGCTGCTATTATCGAAGCGGGTCAAAGTTGTAAGCCATCGCTGGATAGAGGATTCTGTTAACAGAAGTATCTACCGTCACCCCGCAGACGAAGAGTATGATCTCAGGTTTGTATTCCAATTAATTCTTATTCAGATGATGTCATTCGGATTCTGAAACTTGAGAATCTTGTCTTCACCTTCCCATTGATTATGAATGGCAGACTACTCACTGACACTTTTAAATAGATTCTAATTCCTAGACCTACATGACCAGCTTGCGATTTCATGTGACACTGATTTAGGATCTGTTCCATCAAGCTCATAGGATTGGGGGTTATAGTTCGGCAATATTTTAACCTCTCGTGAATTCTTTAGCAGGACTGGAGAAGTGCTTTTGTCCGATGAGGAAGAAGAAGAGCTGGTGTCAAAAACTTCAGTCCCCATAAAGGCTGACTCGATGGTACCCATCACCCCAGACAAGAGGGTTGTACCTAGATCTCTTCGAAAACCAGCTACGCGGAGACGAGCCCTGAACCTTGGAAGGCCTAGTAGAAGATCCAAAGGAACAGAGGAGGAACTTCCAAGAGTAGAGGCCCAAAAGTCGGGCAAAGAAGAGCACGTAGAGGATGACAGAGCACCAACAGAAATAACCAATAAGGGAACCAGGAATGATCCGAAGGCAGTGGAACCTTTTCAATTAGATGATTCTGCTTCTCGTACACCAGAAAAGAGAGTTCTTAGAGTTACTCGAAGCAGGAAAAAAGACAAACCATCATCTGGGAATGAGCGCCTACCTTTAAAACGACGTCTCATTCATGATGAAGGTGAGGCATCTCTGACCCAACCTTCAGACAAGGCACTCACAGGAGCGGAACCTTTCATACCAAGAATGTCGACCAGATTGGCTGAGAAAAGAAAAGCATTCGAAAGGTACGGAGTTCTATTCACGTTATCTAGATCCTTCACAGTTACGAAAGTTTGCGATAACCATACTCATGCAGTCATGATAGGTAAAGCCTATGCTGATTTACCAGTCACTGAATAATTTAAATTTCAAACATGTGCAGCAAGAGAGAAGCCGACACATATAAGCTAGAATGTACTGCAGCGGATCTTCGGTTTGTGAAACTGAAACCTTAAGACCTACATGTTCTTCGCTTTTCTACATCTTAGCTTTTAGGCCGTGATACCAAAAGAACTACTGGTCTCACATCAACATCCTACCGCTTCCGAGGCCTTTCAGAGTTAATTAATTATGGTTGGTTTGCAGTGAGGAAGACCAAGAAGAGCCCGTGGAAGCTTCAGAATTCGAGGGGTTGCAGAACACCAGTTCTTTGAAAGAGCCAACTGGAAGGGACGACAGCAGATTACATTTCAACGATTTCGACCATCAAAGCCCAGCCATTGATGATATGATCAATACTCTACTTCCAAATTACGCCTCATCACAACAGGCTAACTTATCTCAACAAACGAACAGAGAGAGTGCCTTGCCCTCAAGGTCGAACTCATTTTTTATCAAACCGACGTTGGCCCCACAACCCACTCAGGGAGTTCTAGGTAGCTACTCTCGACCATATCTCCCTTCACATTGTGCATCTGAAGCCCTCCAGCCGGTACCAGATGCTCCAGATAACTCTGATTTATTTTCATCAGTGCATCGTTTGGCAAGTTCACAAGACCACTTGACTGGGACTGTGACGGTTGAATCATCCTCACAGGGGTTGGCAACTTATCTACCTCCGACCAACAACCCTGAGAAGAAGAAAAGAAGCTTTAAGGATCTGGTCAACCAGATGCTCAACGGTAACTGATTCTGAGTTAGAATTGTATATTACTTCCAGAGAAGACAGTTCTTGTACATTATGAAATGGCGAACGTTTCATTCGCCAGTTCGTTCTCTGAAATAAACACGTTATTCTTGCTAACCGAGTCATCCCCATCCCTTCGCTGATATAGTAATATTGTAGTACAAGAAAATACATTTGAGCTGATGACATATATTTCTGTGTGTGTGTATATATATTTATATATTTATGTGTTTATTTATCTATGTTTATATTTATTTATTTATTTATTTATTTATTTATATATTTGTGTGTGTGTTTAACCATGACTAGAGGAGTTTAAGTAATATTTACAATTGTGTCTACCCAATTGGTCTTCATTAAGTTTCTGTGAAGATTTCAAGTTTGAACAGATGCAATCCAAACTATGTCCCAACTTAAGTAGAAAATCTAGTATGATAATTAATGTTTCATGCAGCATCTCAATCCACACGATTGCTGACTTGGCTGGTTCAAAGATTCTAGACCTGAGAGCAAAGACTGGGTCCCAACCATCAAGTGTGAAGTTGTTTCACCTAACTAATCTTTTCCTGGCTATTGCACCACCCAAGCAGTAATGGTCTCCACTGTGAACACAGGCATTTTATTCAAGGGATAGAAATTTTGGTTTTACTACTCAACCTCGTTACTGTTTAAACGTTTTTCTCACATCTTACAATGGGAAAAAAATTTACACTCAGTGTTGCAAATGTGTATTGAAAAAATTAAATATATTTCAAAAAAAATTATTAGTAAATATGGTATTGAGTGTGTATATCATACTCTGGAGAACTCATTTAGGTGCTTCGTTTGGATCTGTCCTAAATCATGAACCATACCAAATTGCTCGAAAACAAACTTTCAACACAATTTCTTGATTACATAGTCATTGAAGTGTGTGTTTTTATACATGTACCCAACATTGATGTTTTTTTTTTTTTTTTTTTTTTTTTTACGAATCTTCAAAAGAATAAAAAAGAATAGAAATATATAGAGAGAGAAGTAATAGGATTTTCTTATTATAGATATGTAATTCACTTAACTCAAATCAACATTATGGATTTTTATTTTTATTTTTAACTTGCTGGTACTTGCATCAATAGAAACATCTAATCCACCATTTTTCAATTTGAAATATTATAAATCTCTAGAATTTTCTTTTGGTAGTTGGTGTATCATTGTAATTATGCAAATATTGCTAAACTTTTTTTTGAAGATTTTTTTTTGTTATCACATTTTCTTGTTAATGCATGAATTAAAATTAATTTGTATAAATAATAATTTAGTTATCTGTCTAAAAAATAAATACCTTTTACAATATTGATTTTACAATTTGTGGTGGGATCTTTTGATGGATCTAATTTTATGCTTACTAAATTACTTATAAGACATTTAGATGTAGTTGATTAAACATAGGGTATTACAAATGCCACTATAGTTTTACTAGTGTCACCAAAATCTGCCATCCACCACATGTCATTACAATTTTTGCTATTGCCACCATAACCCACAACCTAATTGAAATATTTTTTTAGTTACTTATATTCCTATCAAAATTTAAAATATTTTTGATATATTATTATTTATAAAAATTACAAATTTTAATAATTTTTTAAAATTTAATAAGAAAATACATATATATATATATATGCACTTAATTTTTTAATTAAATAATAATATTCTTATTGTAAAAATATATAAAATATATATGATTTAAGCACACACACACACACACACATATATATATATATATATATATGCTGTTTTAAAAAGGGTATAGATGGCATGTGGTAGATGGGTTGTGGTGGCAATAGTCAAAACTATGGTGGCATTAGAAAATATCCTAAATATAATTTGTCTTCAAATACCTTTTAATTTCCCTTACTTCTTTTCACATTAACTAGTTAGTTTTTTTTGTGTTGCATAGCAAATAGATTTTAACCAAATTTATACTTTTGTAACTTATAACATTATTTAAAATAGCATCTTAAGCTTCATCATTTTCATCCAAATAAATCACTATATTTTTTTTTTTTTCCCTTTAAAACGTACATGCAAGAAACAAAACCATTCACTTTAACAACAACAACAGTTTCATAAAAATCCAAACTAAATTGTATAGTTATGAACTAACATAACTCACTTAAGTAATGCTAAAGAGACATGATTTAAGATGTTTGTTTTGTTACTTCACTGTTTTACTTACAGTTTAACAACAATATATTTATTATTTTCAAAACCATCAACAACTTGATATGAGTTCATTTGAAAGAATATAACAGTAAATTACATTACAAATGCCTATTTAATCATGTGTGTATTTGCTACATATAAAAATATGCTATCTTTTGCATGAATAAACAAAACACACACTCACACAAATACATGCATACACACACATACATAGCACCAAAAAATTCCTCTAAAGTGATGTGGAAATTATAAACCAAATCACAAACCTCAATTTCCTAAACTCATCAACAAGAATAGTAATAGTAGGAATGTGGGTTTGGAGTGCCCTACTCTCAAAGCTTCCAGGCCAAGGCAAGACATGGTAATTAAAGTCAGCATTAGTGGTAACCTCCATAAATTCGCAAGTACAACACGTCAACATTCCAAGTCTTTTATGTGGGGGTGGGGGATATATGCATGCACTACTGATCTAATTGGCATTATCACAACAACAAAATACTTACTTATGTGCATGTGGCATTCTATGTCCTCATCTCATGAATGGAATTTTCACACTTTATTCCTTGTGAGTGGTGAGTGTATCATTCATGCCTGCTGTGAATTGTTTTAACCACAATTTATAGTCAATTATTAAAATACAAAAATAGAATGAAATAAAATAAAACAATACACCAGGGGACTTGTTGGAATATTTTTAAAATGATTGTGAAAAATTGCCTCAAAATGTGCAGTATGTAGATATTATTATTATTATTATTATTAATTATGCATGATATTGTGTGTGGATACATCTATCTATCTATCTATATATATATATATAAATATATAGTGCATACACATACTATTCAAATATCATGATACTCATTTAGAACTATGCATAAGTCTGGTTCAGATAACATGAATGTATTTTTAGATTTTGTGTGTATGATTATAGCTTTTGGGATGCATCGCAGGTTTCTGTACGAGTTTATATTTTGCAATAAATAATGCATTTGCTCAATAGATTGGACATTCTTTGTCCAAAATGTAGGACATATTCTGGATTTTACTAAGATTTGTTTTGAAATATACAGAAGGGGTTTTTATATTATTAATATTATTACTATCACCATTTTAAAAATAAACATAACAATACAAATAAATTTATTTACCAAGTATAATTGATGATATTATGTTGGAATCCTTAATGAAACCTAACCAAGAATAGAAAATCCATTGAAACTTTGCACAATTAATAATAACATGCCTTATAGAAATCAAAATGCTCTATATTATTGTGGAGATGCAATAAAGTGCGTTGAAAAAACTCATCGGCTAATTTTCATGTCTTGTCATTAAAAAGTACCACGTGTATTATCAAAAATCATCAAATAATAAATTTTAGGATGGATGGCACAGAGTTGTATTTTCATTTTACTTTTTCTTTCTTCTATCAAATTGTACACTTTTACACACAAATAAAATTAAAGTAAATGCATCACTTAATTATCATAACATTGTAATATAAATTGCATTAAAGTATATGTGTCATTAGTGAATTTATTTATTCTTTTTTTTATACCACGCTTATTAGATTTCAACTTTGTAATTGATTTTGAACTAAAAAACGCACCTTTTCATTCAGTAAATATCTACACACAGATACCACACAATACTGATGCAGTGGATAGAATAATGTACTATTTTCTAAGTACCAAAGTGGTTACAAGTTTGTGCTAACAACTTCTCAACTAAACACCACTAATTATTTATTTTATTTATTCTTGTGTATTTTAATTTATTGTTATTTGTTTGTAACAACCCTTGCCAGCTCTAGCTTCAATGACTCTCCCAATCCCCCACACATGCACCCCATTCTCCACCCCCTCCTCATCCTCCCCTTCTGTTCGTTCGATTTATCATCCATCTATACGATCGGGTTTTTGTATGTTCCAATCGGATCGCTTAGGGGCACTCTTAACACAGTCACCTTAGATCGCCATATCATCATAGAACGAAGAAACTCATTCTCAGTTATATAGATCATTTTAACTTGATTCAGAGATAGATATGACCCTTAATCTACGTTTTAGCCGGATAGGAAATGAATCTGTTCACGCTTAGCGACGAAAACCGCTGTCGTTTTAGTGGAACTGTTAATCAAACAAGATGTAAGAGGGTGAGATGTTGTGGCGTAGTACATGAAGTTTGTGAAGTGTCGGTTTGGGGAAGAAAGTGAGGTTGTTCTGGCAGTGGCTCTCTCTCCGCCCTGGATCTCCATGGCCATAGCCACGACCTCTTCTTCCTTGCCCGTGCGTGTTGCGGGTCTCGCCCAGACCATCCTTCCCCACAGCCGCATCTGCTCAACGTTCAAGGCACGTGGTTTGCGCTGCGGTGGATTCGGACTCGGACGTCGATTTGAACGCGTTGGAGCTTCGTTCGGTGTTGGAATCTGCCTTCAACTTTGTTGCTGAAAACGTGAAACCTATGTTCGTGACAATATTATTGCCGGATTCAGGAGCGCTGCGAGTGGAGTCGGTGGAGGAAGTGAAAGGTGGTAGAGTTCTCTCCGTCCTCTCTTCGTTTTTGTGGCTGGTGCGGAGTTATGCTGGCTATCTGTTGTTTGTTTTAAATATATATTTTTATATTTTTTAGATAATTTACGAATAAAATCTGTTTCGATCAGTCGGAGTGGGAAGAGGCGGAAAGTGATTGGCATCAGCTTCGGGTCGAACCTTGAGGTTGTGTCTGCCGGTACTAGTTGTGGCAGGGATTATGCAAGAGAGATTCCTGCGTGGTGAATGTCAAGTAGTACGTATGTATGATATTGATTTCATATTTTTTGAAATTGTTATTATTGTTGTCATTGAAATCATTATTTCCTACGGTTTCTCGTTCTTTTTGTCCATCCTAAGTATTATGGTGGATTCTGCGATGTTTGGAAGGAGATGGAGATCTTGATGTGATCACCTCGCGTCGCCAGAGAGTCTTTGCTTTTCCTCTGTGACCTCCTCCGTTTTTTGGTAGTTATATTCCATCTCTCCCTCTTTCAGTATTGGGAGTAAAGCGACCCTGAAGCTCTCTACGTGTTTCAGAAAATTCCAGACTTCGGAAATAATTCCTCAGAGTGAACTGTATTAGCAGGTTTTACCTTGTTGGATTGTTGTTTGGAGGATCACACTTCTCTTCAAATTGTGACAGAGTGAAATTTAATGAGAAAACAGCTGTCCGCATGCGCACCGATTGTGTCCCTGAGTGCTGTACATATTTTTGAACCAGTCAAAGTGAATCTGTTCTAGATATAAATCCAAGACCGTTAGTATCTTTACCTATCTTTTCCAGAAACATCCACAGTAAGAAGCACTGTTTCTTACAGAAAAGGTGGCTTTCGCAACTCGTATCTGTTTATTCAACTTCCTCTATTTCTCTCACGGTAAGTGGCTTCATTCAAGCGCTTCCTGTTTCGCTGTGAACGGAGCCGTTCAACCAAACTGTATTTGATAGTAAGTAGTAGACACTATTCATGACTTATATACAACAGTCTTTAGTAGCTTTCAAAACACAGGTCGAGATGGAGAGTTTCGCTGTTGTCATTGCTGATGGCAACCTTGATGGCAGCAGGAACGTCAGTCGGCGTGGTATGTTTGTTTGATTGACTAAATCATTAAATGGAGGGAGCATTTCCATGGGGTTGGCCTTGGGGTCATGATGAGCAGGTCAACTTGTTTTTGGGTCTTGGTCATGGTATTGGCTTGCTACCGTACCGCAGTCGAAGCTGTTCGAATGCTCAAGCGAAATAATTTACACTCTGAAAATTTGAAGTATCACGACGCCTTTTAAATTCAATTCTTGGTGTGGTATAATGTGGCTCATTTACTGTGATCACAGTAAACGCAGGATTATTAAGTTTGTCAATTCATTAGTGGAAACTGTTTATTACAGATTATCGCGTGCATGTCAAAACGATGTAAATTCGTATCCATACTGTAGACGTTAATGACTTTTTTTGTTTGGTGCAAGTACAGGAATCGCGGTGATGAGCATTCTTTGAATTCGGCACTACTGGATTGATCTCGTGCATCCTGTTTGGTCATTTGTAGCTTCGTGATCCACCTGGTCGAATGTGTACACAACCAGGCCAGAGATGGGTGGTGCATTTTGGCGTATGTTTTCATATGCTGCATCTATTGTCCATGAGGAATCAGTGATTTTGTAGTGCTAGCCGGGCTGCACCTACAATATGTTGAAGTTGTGAAATCTTTGGGCGGAATTATCCTGAATTATGTAACGGTACTTCCTTCGACAGATTAAAACAAGGTCACACAGCATGATATTAGAGAAGCGTTTGTTTTGTATGGAATCAATATTTTTATGCAAATTAGCTTGGATAACTGAATAGCAGGGGATGCTGCAGTATCCTAGCTGGCTCCAGCGTAGGTTGTTCATTGAGAGTGATTTTATTAATTTTTGCCGGATGGGAATACCTGGCGGCACACTTCGATGTATGACACGCATGCGTGACTTAACTGAGATCAACGCTGGGAACTCATATGCACAGTTGTAGCGAGGAGGCTTCTGATCTGTTCTGGTATTATGGTTTGAGTTACTGTTGTGTCTGAAAGGTTGGTGCCTATCGTTTGGCCACCGTCTTTGGATTTTGCCGCCGAGGTGCTCACAAATAGCTACCGAGGCCCATATTGGCATACGATCTCAGTGAAAACAACCGATGAGACAATTTTCGTATTCAGCAGGGCTAAGATTTTCACATTCCAGGACCGGAGGGTTGTCGATGACGCTTGATCACTCACAGGTCAGAAACACTAATACCTTGTGTTCGTCTGCGTGGAATTTGTTTCTGTGAATCTTGCCATAACCGATCGCAAGAGGAAGTTGTGTTATGGCACGAGAGATGCTACTCGGCATTCAGTTGTAGATCCTCGCAGCTTCTGCGCCTAAATTAAAGTGAATTGAGAGGATTGAAGCGACAGGATGTATACAACACGTAAATACGCAATTGGAGATTCGTACATATCTTATCTGTTCATGGGTTCGTGGGGTTTATTATTATTATCATTATACTCTTTCTTATTCGAGAAACTGTTTTTTGCTGTCGACTTAACATGTGCAAATGAATGATATAATTCTTGAAACAGGCTGCATTGATGTTTTAGCTAGTCGAGGGTAAAGAAGCGAGTCACAGTGTAGGCATGATGCCTTTTTGGCCGGATGAGTCAAGAGGATCCTCAACTACCTCAACCTCAAAATCTACCCACCACTCACTACCATGTGGTCGATATCATCCTTATTCTCGGAAGAAACAATTGTACGGTTTTCTATCACCTTAAGCTGAAAGATTTAAAATATTATTCTTATCTGTTTGTATTGATCCTGCTTTAAGATCCCAAAAGTCTTAACCGTCTTCTATCTTTAAAGTTAGTCATATGATAGCTGCGGGTATCTACACTTCTTTCAGTTCTTCCTACATGAACTATGTTTGTGATGTTTTTCCAGCATGTGGACTATTATGCAATAAGTCCCAAGCATTCATTCACCAATAAAATCGGACCTTGTATTTATGCTATATGTATGGTTCATTACAGAGTTGGAAATGTGACGTCGTTGTTAGCATGGAGGGAGGTAGCACCAAGGGTTAAACGGCCTGCCAGGAGGCTATGGGGGGAGGCTGCTTCTGGAATTGTAGTACACGCAGGACCTCGGTTGGAATCAATCAGTGCGGAGTTGGCGCTCACGTCATGGTTAGCTCTTCATCTGCTTGTCCTACAGTCAAGATTTCACATCGTTTAGAATTTCAGCCTAATCCATTTTTTGGTTTATGGTATCGATGAAAAATCCACGCTTTTCTTAAAGTCGCCAGCTTTTTTATTCATGAATTTCTTGTTGTTTCAGGTCGTTATTGCTTCTGTGTGCTGTTAATTTAATTAGGGTTTTTTAGTTAGTATTTTGATTCAGTGTTGGACCTCCTTTATTGAATTTCAATCTCCTGCTTCTTTTCATGCGCTATTTTTCAAGCTCTTTCATTAATTGTTCAATTGAGTTTACGTGCTGACGTTAACGAACTAGCTAAATTATACAATATTTGATGTGGAATCAAGTTCTATTGATTTTCACCTTCGTCATTTGTCCTGTTTCTAGACAAAACATTTGCATTGCCAGAATATGGTTTCTGTACTGCTGCTGCATGCTTGTTGCTGCAAGCAGTTTGTTGGTCTTTACTTGAACGTTCAGATACGGTGCAGGCCTATACGGTTACGAACTAGAATCTCAGTTTGGTCTTGTATTTTTTAGCTGACTCGCACAGGTTCTACAGGTTGGAGGCCGAATCACTTCGTCATTGCACTGCCAAATATTGCCCTCTACAACCAGCCCCACGGTCTACTATAGCAGCAGCTTTCAGCCCTGATGGCAACACCTTGGCCTCTACACAGTAATCGCCTAAGCTGTCGTTCTTCATCTCTGTAGATGCACAATGCTATGTCGATGAATCTGTGTGCTAGGCCGCCATGGCAATAAAATTAAATTTACTTTGAGTCCTTGTTCTCAGTGTATTTTTTTTGTTGGAGTTAGAACTTCAAAGACGAGCAGCATGAAAATCTTACGTCATGACATATTTGTTTATGCGGAGGACCACCCTTATCAATTTTAAATGCTCTGTGCAGTGGCGACCACACAGTAAAAATTATCTGCTGTAGAACTGGCCAATGTTTGAAGGTTCTAAGTGGACATCGGCGAACACCGTGGGTGGTAAGTATTTTCGCGTCTTCTAATTTTAGCCTGTTGGAAAAACATTATCTTATCGATGCCTACTCGAGTTTGAAACAGTTATGTTAAAAATTATGAACTGAAGTGCACGTTACCATTGGTTTGAATATTGTTGTGTTTATTTCGGTAGGTGCGTTTTCATCCAGCAAGCTCGGAGGTGCTAGCTAGTGGGAGCCTTGATAATGAAGTGCGGTTATGGAATGCCAATACAGCCGAATGTGTAGCGTCTCATGACTTCTGTGAGCACTTATGATATTTATAATCAGTTTTTTGTTTTGTTTTGTTTTGTTTTGTTTTGTTTAGTTTTTTTTACTTTTTTTTGTATCCTTTATATTTCTTTCTGAATTGTAGATTGATTGAAGCTGGTAACATTTTAGTATACCGTTGTAAGCAAGTTGTTGCTTTGTTGAAGACGTTATTGTTTATTATGTTTAATGTTATTCCTAATGTTCGTAATTTTAGTTTTAAATCTTGTCTTTCTTTCTTGGACTACCTTTTTCCGTGGGTTCAATTTTATTTGTCTCAACAAAGGAAATCCTCAGCTGTCGTATGTCTCACCTTCAAGTAGGAACACATTTTTTTTTCGATTCACAGTACCTATATTCATCTCTAACAGGTAGTTGTCATGTGGCGTTTTTCTGATGTAGATCGACCAATAGCCTCACTTGCCTTTCATGCACAAGGGGACTTGCTCGCTGTTGCATCTGGACATAAGGTAGATTTTTGTTTCCCTCCAGGTTGTCTATATTCTTTTCAATGTTCGATGTGTTAAGCCTTAAATGTTATCCTGAGCTTTGTAATCGCTAAAAATTACTCAACTGGTTTATTAATTACTTGGAATTTATTTGAGTTCGAAAGTTGGCTTTTTCTCTATGTCTTTTGTTCTTTCATCTAAGGTGTTTCAATCTACGCGCAGTTGTATATATGGCAGTTCACGAAAGGAGGGGGTGCTGCACCGACCATTGTCCTTCGCACTCGCAGATCTCTGCGGGCTGTTCATTTCCACCCGCTTGCTGCTCCTCTTTTACTTACTGCCGAGGTGAGCTGAATTCTGTTTATTTTATTTTGTTTTATTTTATTTCTCTTGCAACTAATTTTATGTATCCCATCTGGTTGTTCTGTTTATCCTTATCTTGTTTTCGAAATTCTATTCATGTTTCTAAACCTGTGAGTTACTTTGGCAGGTAAATGATTTGGATTCTCCAGACTGTCCAATGACTATAGCCACATCACAAGGCTACTTGCACTACCCACCCCCAGCAATTCATTTCACTCCGTCCACATCAAGTACTCTGCCATCCAACTCGTCTCTGTCGAATCAAGCTTCTTTTATGCCATTGCCGAGTTGGTTCTGGCCGGTGCTAGCAACTGGCTCGGACCTGATGTTCCAGTCAGATCCTACTGTAGCTGTTGAAGTTAGAGATGATGGCAATACAGAATTTGCAGAAGACTCTGTAAGCCCAATCACTGAAACCGAGTTGAATATAGACACAGGTAGGCCCTCGCTGCTGACGGAGCTTCAATTTCCCGATTCTTCGTCGCCTGCCCCCATGGACATCTCTCCGCGGCCTGTGCACGATGATGTTTTTGGCGATGCAACTGCTAATGATGTCTCAACTAGTGGTCGGGAGCCCCTAGAGGAAGGTGAAATAATGGAAAACAATGTTACAATAAATGGCTTTGATTCTCAAGGCAGATCACAGGCACATGATCGCGTCCGTGGAGCTCCTTGGGATTTGGAAGGTTCTCATCCTTTTACCAGCTCGGCTGGATATAATAATACAGGCTCAGCAAGGGGTCATTCCAGCACTCCCATTCCTATTCCCACCTCCACATCTCCTCGACAGGATAATGGGGTTGAAACGCCAGGACCAACTGCATGGCCTATGGGTGCTTTTTCAAATTTGAACGCTCAAATACTGGCAGGAGCTTCTGTAGGTATGCCATCCTTTCAGAATTTTCTTCCAGTCGGAGAGTATCCAGGTTGGGAGTTACCATTTCTGCATGGATGGGTTCAAGGTCAACAAGCACAAGCTGGAACAGCTCCATCGGGACCCCCATCAAGCGTCCCTGCTCCAGGGCCTTGGCAAAGTGCCCAGGAACAGCAACAGCAGAACGCAGCTGTATCAGTTGCTTCTGTTGCAATTGCAGCAGCAATGGCTGCTGCAAGGGCAGCTGCTCGAGCAGGTGCAGGAATGGTAGGAGCAGCAAGCGCTAGCTTGGGGGCTGGAATCGGAGCACAGATTGGAATTGGCAAGTTTTTCTCTTTTAAAATTTCTTTTGAAGAGTTTGGAGTCTGGAACTTCATCCAGTTTCTGATAGAAAGAATTCATCCTGTGTCTTGTAATCTCATGAATAGTAGCTGTCGACCTACAGGTACTCCAATGGGGGCTGCGACAGGATCAGGAGTTAACGCGCGAATTGGTCCAAGTCACGGCATAGCTATCCCTGGAAGAGGAGGTGCCACCATTGGTGCTGCTGAGGCTGCGGCTGCGCAAGCAGCAATGGCAGCCGCTGCTGCTGCAGCTGAACTTCCCTGCACTGTGAAGCTGAAGATATGGCCTCATGATATCAAGCGTCCTTGTGCACTATTGGATCCTGCAACATGTCGCCTTGTCATCCCTCATGCTGTCTTGTGCAGGTAATTGCTAAAGAGATTTTCTTTCTGAAGTTGACATTTCATTTACTAACCGGGGCTATCTCCTGAAGGAAAAAACTTTGTCTTGTAACTTCTCAAAATACTATTGCTTAAGATCAATATCGAGCACTTACAGTGTGAAGTTATATGTTTACTCATTTGGTGCCTTTGTATGTCTAAAGTGGCCATTTGCATGTTGTAAGTGGCGTTTGCACGTCTTAAGTTATGAATGTCATAATGCTTTGTTGTCAATATTTTATACTTGCGTGCTTGTTCTGTAAATCTCTTGGTGTTATCATGGTAATCAGTCAAGCGTGTATTTTTGAGAAAATTTGTGATAATTCAATCTATTTGATACCTTTGGTGGTTTAATATTGTGTGGTGTGGGAGCAGTGAAATGGGTGCGCACTTTTCACCGTGTGGTCGGTTTCTAGCTGCGTGTGTTGCTTGCGTGTTGCCTATGGTTGATTCTGAGTCACGTCGTGGAAATACGACGGGTTCGCCAGCTCCTGGATCGTCAGCTCACTCTCCCACTCAGCATCCTATCTCTTCACAGCAAGTCATATACGAACTACGAGTATACTCTCTTGAAGAAGCCACGTAAGTTAGCGTTGTCTAGTTATTAGCTATTCGTATCTCTTAGTGTCATCCTGAGTCTGGGCTTCAGTTTTTACTGTCCTCTTACTTTGAGTACAACCTATTTGTCTGAACGAGTTCAAACACGGAGTGCCTACAAATATCATATTACTGTCTCAAAACAACATATATTTGTCCGGAAGTGGTTGCTTCGATGTTAATTATGGATTAGGGATTTTATAGGGACTTGATCATATGAGATTAGGGACTTTGTTGTCAATCCAGAAGCTTTTCCAGCTGGAAGATATGAAGATACTAGTGACATTCTTCATGTAGGCACCGTGAAATAACAAGTTTGTTATCCTGTTTCTTCTTGTAGGGTAGATATCACATGTTCTTTATTCATATGATTTTACGAGCTTTGGGTGTGATTTTTTGAACCCTCTGATACTTTTTCTATAATTTATTTATATGTTGATGTTTCAGATTTGGACAAGTTCTTGCTTCAAGAGCTGTTAGAGCTGCCCACTGCCTCACCTCAATCCAGGTTTGTTGTTTTTGCCTGTGAACTATGTGTGATTTTACTATTTTTCCCACCGGCTGCACTGCTTACCATATTGTGCTGAACTTGTTGATGGTGTCACCTTTTGACATTAAGTTTGTGGTGCTGAATGTGTAGTTCTCACCCACCTCAGGCCACATATTGCTAGCGTATGGTAGACGTCATAATTCACTTCTGAGAAGTCTTGTTGTAGACGGCTCAGCAACCATTCCGATTCGAGTCTATACTATTCTCGAGGTTTGGGATTCTTTTCATTCAACCCAATAGTCTTAGTGGCAAGTAACTACTTGTGTAACTTTTAAAAAATTTGACAGTGAACGTCAGTTCTATATTCCTGCTTGATTCAGTTAAGTAATTTTACTTGGGCCAACCACTGTCTCTCTCTTGTGTTTTAACAGGTTTACAGAGTTTCAGATATGGAGCTTGTGAGGGTATTACCTAGTGCTGAAGATGAGGTGAATGTGGCGTGCTTTCATCCCCAAGTTGGTGGTGGTCTTGCATATGGAACAAAGGTGAGTTGTGATTCCTCTGTTTTTCAAGCCAGTAATAAGTTATCACATTGTAGGAGTCTCCTTTTGTTAGTAGATTTATTGTTTAAGCTGGAATATTTTGACGTAGTGGATAGCTCGGCATGAAAATGCTCACAATAAGTTTCTCTCCAGCATAAATCATATTATCCCTCTTAATGATGTATTTCACAGGACAGTATCAGTCATAGAATTCTTACTTCAAATCCAAGCTGAGATTCCTGTTGGACGTACGTGTAATTTGCGTGCTTATGCTCAAATTTCGGCTTTAATACAGGAGGGAAAGCTTCGGATACTAAGACATGACCGAACACCGTTGCATTTGAATCCTCGCTCAGGTTTAGAAGATGAACTGCTTGAGGTACTGCAACTGTCTTGAGCCCGAAAAACGTCTGTATCCTAAACTTGCTTTTGCAATTGTCCTTATATATATATATATATATATATATATATAGAGAGAGAGAGAGAGAGAGAGAGAGAGAGACATAAATTCACACACATACATAGTTATTGCTTCCGTCTCCGTGCTTGTTTTCGTGTGTTGGCTTGGTCTGCACATTTTGCTGGCCCACCAAGTGTACGACCTCTGTTGGGTTGTATATTTCCTTGAATTGTGGTGGCTTCTGTTGCAGATTTTCATTCAGCTTCCTTTAAGACCTTGTTAACGTGCTGTTAAATGTTCAGCAAAAATTTATAGCTATTTATGAGTTTGTGGTACTGAAGCTTGCAGAGACTTTGGATCCAATGAGCTTTGGCATGGTCCCCGCCGTCGAGGATACCCACTGATGGAAAATCTGAACTCCCAGTATTCTTGTGCCAGAAAAGTGCATAGGTGTGTATACTTGCCAGGTCTGGTGACTCCTTTTTTGAAGTAGGCTTTGTTTGTTTTAGGCTACTGAACACACCCCAGGTGAAGGAGCTGTATCGGGAATGTAAAAGTTCAGAATGTAGTATTATTCAGAATATTGGACGCAATGTCTATCAAGAAAAAGAGAAACAAAAAAGAACGCAATGAAAAGGGTTGGAGCACAATGATCTGATTACAGCATTATGGCCTACTAAGCTGCATCAAATACCTCACACTATCCATCATTTTGTCTGATGCGCTATGCTGAATTTTGTTACTCTCAATTCTGGCACTGTAAAGGTCTTCGATAGTCTCCCATGCACCACGCAGGCTTGCGAGTTGTACGTAGAGCTTTGCTTTTATGTTTTCCGAAAGTACATTGACTTTATTTCACAGGAGTTGAACTCGAGAGAAATTTTGTTCTTCACGAAATCGTAGAAGGTGTAGTTTTCGTGGTTCATATGGTACGCCTGTTTCGTACACCAAAAACTACACATATGGTTCTCGAGATAATGTTCGGGCTTATAACAAATCTATTCAAGATGTTTATGATCTCGTACATTCTTTCCAAAAGGTGGTCTAAGGTTTTGGGAAGTATCCCAGTAAGTATGAAGCATCTAAGTTAACGTATTTTATCGAATGAAATCCGTACTGAGTGAATATTATGGTGTCGTTGGATATACCACTTTAGCAAAAGGATTTTGTGAAATCTTAAGAAGCTAATAATCCATGGATTATAAAACTGCTCCAAAATCACCCAAAGTAATGCTCAAGTTTTAAAATATTGGATAGTTATATCTCCTAAAACTGAAAGACTCAACTTAGATTTCAAATTTTAGAAAAAATGGATGCAACCAGTGAATTATAGAAGATTGTGACTAAATCCGTTTCTATACAAAACAAGATTATTTCTTCATTTTGATCATATGAAAAATCCAAATTTTGCCAATTATTCAAGAATACGTCAAAAGTTAAATTTTGACATAAAATGTTGCTGGAAAAAGACATTAAAAGTTTTGCATAAGAATAAATTCTGTTCGAGAAAATAAGATTGGTTTATAAATAAGACATTTAGTGACTGGTTTTGAATTTTAACAATGATTGAGAAGATGAAGTACATAATACAAGATTTAGTTATATAAAAATTTGTTCAGTATTATAAATCTCAACTGAAATTACAATGAAGAGACTTGAAAGGTACAAAAAAGATCGTGGAGATGGTTGATAGATGAACAACTATAAGAATATTATGCCAGAATCAAATCAAATAAGTGATGTATTTGAATGTAAAAAGTTTTTTTTTTGGATTTTTTGAAAAAAAAAGAGAAAGCTAAATTATACTAAATTAAGCTAAAATCACCAAAATGATTTATTAATAAAATCTAAGGAGTTTCTATTTAAAGAAAATTGAAATAAATTACATTTCTGTAATGACTTTTGTTGCTAGTGTATATTTTTACACACACTAAGATGTTTCTAGAACTTGTGCTTTTAGCCTAAAAAAATATCCAAGTTGGATAAATAAGTTTAAAATTTGGGCCTTTGAGAAACTGTTCAACATCTTAGTTAAAGTTTGTCATGGGATTTCGCTTATCAAAGTGTAGCACATCATCTTGCTTCTTGCCAAACAATCAAGTCCTTCTGAACTTGTACTAGAGTCTTGGGGGCTTTGCATTGTTTTGCAAGATTGTTTTTGTTGCAGTTAAGTTGTTTTGATAAATAAAATAATAATTTAATACAAAAATGTGGTCATTTTCAAATTGTTTAAGGCATGATATATAATGTTGGGCTTGCTTTAATTTTTCTTCTAGCAACAACTTTGTATGTATATTTGTCTCTAATTCTTAATATGTAATGACCTTGTTTGGATAGTGGCCTATGACAATACACAACAATAACACACAATTGATGTATCTTTGTTTGTCAAGCATTAAAAGTTCTATTACAATATGTTATAATTAAGTCTTTTGTGTGTCAATTTTATTGTAAATAAAATTGTGTACCTTTCAAATCTTCAATGCAACCTTCACCACTTTTATTTTATTTTTAAAGACAAATTAAAGAGACACCACATTGCAATGTTTTGATCCCTTGAATATTCAATTGGAATATACTTATATACATACAAACTTATATTCAATTATGTAATTAGATATGTTAGAAAATTATAATTATCAATAAATATAAGGAACTAAAGCTAACATATATATATATATATATATATATATATAATAAAAAACTAGAAAACACAATATACACTTTGAGGTTTAAAATTTTAATTTTTCTTCTAGTAATACTTTAAATATTTTTATTATTTTTGTTATTTTTTCAATATTTTTACTAATTTTTTTCAATTTTTAAAAATAAAATAAAATGTAGATTAATGCAAATTATGATTTTTTTTTTTTTTAAATTTTATTTCCTTAGCAATTTTTTGTAAAAGAAAAGAAAAAATATCAAAATATGACCACTTAAGTATATATTTTTTTATTCATCAAATAGTAACCATATAATAATATTTATTTTTATTATTTTAATTTAATTAATACCACTAATTAATATAACTCAATTGTTTGAAAATTATAAATATAAAATAGATTAAATATTATTGATAGTTTTATTTTCTAATACTTTTGATTTGACAGTAATTCACTACCTTTCTCCAGAATGCAAACAAAAGAAAAAAGTAGAAAAAAGTAGAAAAAAAGAACCACAATAAAGTCCAAGAGAAATTTTCAACTAAAAATATTTAAGATATATGCTAAAGAATTAAATCAATGCTAAGCCTCTACTTATGAACAAATAAATCTATTTCCCCATAGATACATTTTGAATATTCACCCAAAAAAATTAAATTATAATAGATATATTATTAAAGCATCCAAATTAAACCTTTGAAAGGCATATTATTTCGAACTGGTTTTTATTCCATGAAAAAAACGAAAGGGGTAAAATATAAAAAAGTGAGAAAAAAATCGATCAAAGAGTATCTGCATTCGATTGTCCTACTCGACATGCTTTCCACAAAAGGTCATGCCAGCTGGTCTCTGACGTGTTCACAAGATTGCGGACTTCGAGTGGGGACCCCATTGGGGGACCTCGACCCACATCTCGTCATCTCGAACAGCACACGGAACGAGACCTCGAGTCCCGTCCCGCAGCCTTCAGCGGAGCTGTGAGGAATGAGGAATCCGAAGGCGAGGCGAGTCCAGTCGAGGTTTGTTTGATCTGCTCGAGGGGAGATTGTCGCAGTTGTTGCTCCAGGATCACAAAGTAAGTGAGCTACGAAGCATTAGACGAGGTGGGTTTTTGTTGTCTTTTGCTGTGAGCGGAACAGAAATAAAGATGATGGCAGTGTGGATGTATCCCATCTCGGGATTCTATTTCTTCTTCCGGAATGTGCATCGTTTGTGGTGGCGCGTCGCGAGGCTAGTGCTGGAGCTTGGGGCCGCAGTTGTGGGCACCCTCTTTTTCCTCTTCTGGGGTACCTACGGTGGACAGCGAAATTTTTTGCTGAGGTTTCTACCTCACTGGATGGGGGCGCCCGGCGCGATTGGTCTCATCCTCCTCGAGACCGCGATTACGATCGTGGTTTTGTTCCAGTATCGGGTGGAGAGCGTGCAGCGGAAGCTCTTCATCGACGTGCTCGCGATCCGTAAGATTACGGTGGAGCCAGCCACGCCTGATGAGCATGCGTGGTTACAAGAGCGGCTGATTCCGCAGCTGGCTGGGGTGCCGACTGAAGCCCCGATGACGCAAGTGTCGCGGAAGAAGAAAGCGGAGAGTTATTTGAGCCAAATTTTGACGGAAGATGAGCATCCCATCCTGAATTTCCTGATCACTCTTCCGCTCAATTTCTTCCCTGTCGTGGGAAATGCTATGTTTTGCTACTTGAATGCGTTCCCCACCGCCATATCCTTGCACCACTATTATTTTACGGAGATGAAAGGGTTGACCTCTGAGGAGTTCTCCGCTGTGGTGCATGCGAGGAAGCCTCATTACCAGTCCTTTGGTTTCGTGGCCTCTGCGCTTAGTCTTATTCCCGGCCTGGACATCCTGCTTATACTCACGAACGCGGTTGGTGCAGCATTGTGGGCTGCCGACATGGAGAAGACGCAGGGAAGCGTCAAAACCAAGTACTGAACAAGACTATCTCCCTCCCTGTACATACATTTAAACCTTTGGATGCCCCTTTGTTTGTAAAACCCGTTTTCTTCTTTTGTCGATCATCTCGCGTAAGGAGCATGTTCTTTCGTATGCACTCTCCATCTTCAGGGCGACTTCATCATGTGGAATAGAAGTATGCAGTTGAATGATAGAGGGATTTTGTCCTTGTCCATCTGCAGATGGCGATTGGATTGGTTTGACAAGCATGTGAAGACTTACGGTACTTTCAGCAGTGCCTCGTCGTCAGGAGAGTCATCCCAAGTCTAAGCCAAGCTTCAGAAAGACCAACGTGGGATCTCATATGAGCGATCTGGGTTAGCTGATCTGATTTGAAGATATCAGAGCTCATGAACTGAAAAAATGGCCCTAGGAAAGGAAGCGGGGGTAGAAGGATTCTTCCTTCGTCTGTTTATGTTACGAATTTCGATCAGCTTAGCTCCACCGTTAGTGGGGTCGACTGCTCGCTTTTGTAAAATAGCATTGTTGAACCGTGTAAATCTCTGGGTTGGTTGAAATCGACTGTGGCCAGAGGCTCGGTCCGTTATTCATTTTATGATTGGAAATGCTAGTCTTTTTCTCAATTTGGTTGCAACCAGACCTCCTGCCATGGGATTAGGGTTAGGTGTCGAAGCGTAATAACTAAGTTTTGTGTGTGGTGTTTCTCATTCACAGGAGGTTGGAACCGCTGTGCGTATTTCTGAGATGCTGCCCCTCTTTCTTAAACGTCGATATTCCTTGAATGTTGCTTTTGGTCTTCTTCTAGCGTTGTCAACTAGTTGTTTTTGTCTATGATTGATCGATGAGTTTTCCTTATGGTATATGACTCCGCTATGGTTTCACCTGCATATTTATTACTGGTTTCTTATCAAGCAGTTTATTTATTTATTTATTTATTTATTTATTTTATTATGAACACTAGAATAAGATGGGTTGTTGCTCCAGTGGTCCTGTTTTACTAACGTTCTCAAGAGTGAGTTTGTCTTTAGTAGTCTTCCATTGAGCGGTTTTGTGAAGTTCTGAAGCTATAGGCCAGTTTCACTTTAGAAAAGATCATTTTTTGGTCGTATTATTGTCAATGATTACTGTCAAAATAATATGTACAATGTAAATCTTATATCTCAAACTACGCTAACTGCTTCAGTTCTGCAGACCTCTCGCGTGTGACCTCTGATCAGGAGATGAAGAGCACCCTCAGGTATTTGTTGCAACACTCAATCAACTACAATTATTTTCTGTTACATGTTCAACACCACTAAATAGACATTCTATGCTCGGGCGTTTGCTACGTCAAGATGATGCATAGAATGTCGACGCTGGAGCAAGTTAATACCCTGTGATAGAGATTTTTTTTAATATATCGACCAGATTACTTGTCTCTACCACTGCTTTGGGATCATACGAAGCTCCAATGCATGCTGTGGCTCGAGACATGATCTAATTTATGGAAATAAAAGTGCTGATTACGGTGTCAGAATTGTGAATTATTTCTCATTGAATGGGGCACATCAATTTGTGATTCTTATCACTCTGGTGAAGTAGATTCTTGCCTCCTGGTTTAAGTGCTGGGGCTTTTACAACAACACCAATTTTGACATCCTTGTTGACAAGTAATGCTTCTGTCTACATGGGTGAAGAAAATCATGAAAATTGTAGTTTTTATTTGTACTTCTGACACAATTCTACGTAACCAATTCAGGACAATAGTTGGAGGATTTTGACACATATCAATCCTAGAAACTATCTCTGAACATTATCTAAAATAGTTTTATACAAAGACTCAAGAAAACTTAATTTTGAACTAAATTTTGAATTAAGATTGATATTAGTCCTGTCGACTCTTTTGACATGAAATCATGGCCATGCTTTTTTCTTTGTTGACGATTTAATAAATCTAGAACCAATTCTTTTTGAACTTCAAATCTTAAAGTTTAATTATTTCTTTTAGGAGTATTTCACCTGCGATTCTAAATTTGAATTAGTCAATTATCTGTGGAATATCCACATATTTTCAAGACACAAGGTATTGTTTTTTGTTACTAGGTGTCCCATAATTACAACAATTATCATTAGTTAGGTAGAATGATAAAATATTTTAAATTTATAAATGACTTAGTTAAACAATTTAGAATTATATAATAAAAATAAGTTTTATTTTAAAAAATTTAATTTAATATTTTAAGACTTCTTTAATAATAGCTAATAAATTTTAAACATCTTAATAATTAATTTGGCTTGGCTTACATCATAATAAATCAACACTACAAGTATAGGTTTGTTCAAATCTTAATCTAAAATAAGTTTAATTAGTTCTAATTCTAATTTTATCTAGTAAGCCTTAAATTGAAACAAAAAAAAAAAAGGAAGCAAATAGCAAAACAACAAAAAAAATGTTCAAATGGTTTTATTGATTTACAATAAAACAATATAAAAATAAAAATAAACTATTAATAACAATTGTAAATCAATATCAAAAGATAAAATTTAAAGACATTCTTAACAACATCAAAAGCATGTAAATTAGACTTATTATGAATAAAGTAGTTATACTAAGTAATTAAAAGAAATAAATACACATCAATAGATTAAATACAATAGTAGCCATATTGTATTTGTTAAGATTTTGTATTTATTAGATATCAATCAATAAGACTCTTAAGACCTCAACAACACTTCTAACTTTTTAAAAATAGTCAAAACACTTAAAGTATTACAACTTTTAATGCTTTTTGTTTTTAAAATGTTTAGTATTAAAAAACAAAGAATTTACTAAATCTGAGTTAATTTGGATCCAAGTTGCCTCCAATCTAGTCATACTTTCATTATCTCTTTTTTCACCTTTTTTTTTCCACTTTAAAAGAAAATCTAAAATACATACATGTGTATATATATATATATATATATATATATATATATAACACTGATTTTTTTCATTATACTATTCTTGCACTCCATTCTTTGAAAATTGACTTTGTGATATATTTCATCTATAAAACAATTTAAAATCATTTCTTTCTACCCATCTGTTTTCATCTCTTTATTTTTGTTTTTATTTCAAATTATAAAATTTTAATATATTGAAAAATTAAATTAAATTTAGCAAGAGTACTATAGTTGAATTCTTGGGAAATCTTTGGCGATCACACTGTTTAAAATAAACATAATCATTTTTATTCAAGTAAAAATATATATACATATATTTTTTATAATTACGAGTAATTAATTTTTAATTGATAAATTTAATTGAAATTTTTTTAAAATTAATTGCTAGACATAACCAAACTATCTATAGAACTTTATTCATTCCAAACTTCAAAAAATTTATTGGCAAATGCCTATATTACCACAGTTTAAACTAAAGACTTAATAAGTAGATGTCTAAATTTTAGATTAAGAGATGAATGTAGTGTCAAAGTTTGGATACAAGTTCCTACAAGTACATGTTTTATTTTTGGACTAGAAGATATTTATTTCTTTTTTCTTCTTTAGTTTTTTTTTTTTTTTTTTTTTTTTTTTTTATCTTTTGAACTAAAAGTGTATTTAGATAAAAATATATTTCTAACAAGCATAAATATCTAGGTAAGTATTTTTTAAGAAATGGTATTTTTATATAATTAAGAAGTAATATGATGGATTGAGGTTTTTTTAAAAAGAACATTTAGAATAACTACTACCAAATACATATGCATATATAAACAATAAATTTTATTTATTTCTTTAGTATAAAAATTTTAATATATATTTTTTTTCTAATATGGTATATCTAAAGATAATTATAGATCTAAAGTACTTTTATCAAAATATTTTAATTTTTTTTTCAAGATACAATCTTTCTTATAATTTCTATTTTTATATTTAAAAAAATAATATAGATATTTAAATTAAAATAATAAATATAAAAAATATTTAAAAAAATAACCATATATAATTACAAAAACAAAATAAAAGATCAAAAAAAATAAATATTACTAATATTTGAAGCTATTATAACTCTTTGACTACAAAAATGCTTATTAAGTATATGTGGTCTATTCTTACTAATTACATAGTTATAAGACAAAATTATAAAAAAAAATCCAAATCAAACTTAAATTTTTATATTTTACTATCATTTAATAATTTTAAATTTATAAATAAAATATATAATAGCTAAAAACATACATTAATATAATTTTATTATTTTTGTTTTAAAGGTTATTTTAAGTTAAATCTAAATAAAAATTAGTTAATTTTAAAATTAAAAAAATCATAAAACTTAATTTTGGATTAATATAATTAATAAAAAAATTCCAAATATTTTTTTTATTTTTTTAGGAAATTAACTTAAATTTAAATAATATCATTGAAAATAATTTAAAATTATATTCTTCATTAAAGCTAAGACTATTGTGTACACAATCAGATTTAAGTCTTGTAATTTTTTTTATTAATAATACTTGATTATGTATTTATCCTTTCATAATTTTTTTATTTTAAGTTTTTATATATCACTCCAAAGTAAATTAATTTTTAATGGCTAATTTAATCTTAGTTTTTTTCTATTATGTTATTTAATTTTTTTATATCATAGATGTATGAATTAGATGTTAATAAAATAAAAAATTACTATATAGGAAGATTGATTTGAAAATTTAAATAAAAATTATCAGATTAAATTTCATATGATTTTATATGAATTAAAAATTAAATATAAAAATTTATAAAAATATATACTTTGATAAGATTTATTAAATATTAAAAAAATTATTATTTATAAAATATTAAACCAATTTATAGATTTTTAGAATTATAATGTATAATTATATCTATTCATGCACCAAATAACTTCCATCTACAATCTATCTTTATAGTATAGGCTTTTAATCGTATAAATATTTCTTTATTTTATTTTATTTATTAATTGCTATAAAAATTTAGTTGTATTTTGTGAACTTGAATTCAGTTAGCTTCATAAAATGTTAATAATCCTATTTGTTTCTATTAAAGAAAATAGTATTATGTTGCATTATGATTTTCTATTTACATAAATTAAAGCTTAAAAATTTGTAATAAAACATTTATTCATTTTTACAAGTTACAATTAGAAGTCTATTTTTTCTATTTATTTAAAATATTAGCTCTGTATTACATTTAAGAAATCTAATTTCAAGAGAAGAGATTGGTTAGAATATTTGACCCAAATTATGGATTCTTGAATCACAAAAATATTATCTAAGATATATCTTAGAGACAAGAAAACTATTTGATTTCAGTTTATAAATTTTGTAAGGATTTTTTATAGAATAATTTTGGCAAAAATCTTATATAATGCACTAAGTAATATAATCAATGTTTAATTAATAAAAGCAACTATATCTTTATTCTTATATATAAGAAAAATAAATTTTGTTAAAAAATATATTTTTAGAATTTTTCTTTAATTATATATCATTATTTATATTAAAAGAAAAGCCTATTCTAATGACCTCTTAATCAAATTTAAAAATTCTACCTTAAAGTCATTTACATGCAGTGATTTTTGGTTTATTATCTCTTTTATTATTTTGTATAATTCTTCTAGTTTAATTGGTTATATAAGATTAATAGTTATTTTCTTGAATACCTTTAAAAAAATCTATTTTAAAATAAATACTTATATATCTTTTTGATAAAAATATATTTAATTAAAGATAAGATATATAAGAATAAAAATTATATTATATTTTATTAAAATTAGTTGTTTTTTAATTATTTTTTTAAAAAAATTCATCATAAATT